CGGAGGAGGAGCGCGGGTAAGCGCTTGTCCCGCGCTCGGGCGGTGGCGAGTCTGTCCCACCCGCGCGGGGTCGGAGCCTCCCGAGCCTTCCCCGGTTCTGCGCTGCGAAACACACGCTGGCGCTCGCTTGGGGAGTGGCTAACCCGCCCGGGCATTGGCGCTCGTGGTGCTGCAGCCCGTGGCAAGCCGCGGCCGCTTGGGGTTTATGCTCCTCTGTCAGGGAAGCCGCAGCGTAAGGGTCTCTGCTTGAGGTCTCCGCTGAAATGTTCTCCGGCTTTAGGAGTCTCGAGGGGAGCCGAGCACTCACGTGCAGGTGTTGGGCAGAGCTCTGCCTGTCCGTGCTGGGCAATAAGTTGGCAAAGGGCGTCGAGAATCGTAGTTTATGTGGTTAAAGTATCATTGAACCCAGTGCTGTAAACAGTTCTGAAGAAATAACTACGCAAAACGTGCTGCGATTAGTATAACAGTGATATATTTGTAGTATGTTGTTAGTAAGAGTTGTATTAGCTTTAAAATTCCAGATATGCTTAAGTCTACGTAAGACTTACATAAACAGTGTTTATAAACTATGTTCAGGCGTCTCTAACCTCAGTCTGCATCTGTTGGACAAAGATGATCTCGTCTCAATTTATAGGTTCTATTGAAAATTCTTTTTCAGCCCTTACAGTCGTCAGCAATTATCTTTTACACACACCTTTTGCATTGTATAGTTGTTTTCTCCTGGTAAGAATAGACCTTTTAGTCAAATCAATTAGTTGTTCAGGTTTGTGGTTCATTTAAGGTCACAGTTGTGAGGAAACCTCTGGGGTTTTATGGTTTAATGTGAGAATCTTGAAGCCTTCACGTGGTGTGTGAGTCTCCACGGTGTCTATGGAAGGAGATTGCTGAATTGAAGACCTCTCAAAATGAAGTTCTCTTTGTGTAACATTTCAATGCTGCATTTTATGACAGCATTTCTGTCATTATTTGAATTGCCAAGTAGTAATTTTCAGTGTGAAAAATAAATTCCTTGTAGGCTTTGCTCTGTGGAAATCCACTCCTAGATAATAACTTACACAGTCACATTGAGAGAGGTTTGGGAAAGATGTTTCCAATGTCCTGTGGGAACAGCTAGGAGAGGATCTGATACTGATTTCTTTCTTTCTGGGTTCAGAACCAGGGATGTTGTGGAAACACAGGAGCACTATAAGAGCAGGTGGAGATCCATCTGGGTTATGTACCTGACCATGTTTCTCAGCAGTGTGGGTGAGTAAACACTTGTGGATTTCCATGTTATTTGCTTAATGAATGTTTTGCTTAATAATACTCTGGGTTTGAAAATGATAGGGTATTCTAGGTTTCAGCTACTTCAGCTTCTTTAGTGCTACTGTTCTTTTATAACCTCAAAAAAGGTGGCATTTTCTGATTCTTCAGAAGGGAAGGTATGACTAGAAAATCAAACAAAGTTCAATTTGAGACACTGGCACAGGTTGCCGAGAGAGATTGTAGATGGCCCAACCCTCCCTTCAAAGCCTGGTTGGATGAGGCCTTGAGCAACCTGCTCTGGTGGGAGGTGTCCCTGCCCAGGGCAAGGAGTTGGGACTAGGTGATCTCCAAGGTCCATTCCAACCCTTAATGATTCTATGATTTAATATGATAGGTTAGACTCTGTTTTGAGACTAAATGATGCATGATAAATCTTTGCTTTACAGTTTTGTAGTAGTTCAGGGTGAAGGTAGTGTCAGGCTAAAGTTATTGCTCAGAACAGAACAAAACAAAGGTCACACTTATCATCTGAAGTGACACCTCTAGGGAATTAAAATAGAAATGATGTGGAGGTCTTAAGGGGTAAGATCTTTATGGGTATGTATGTAATCTGTCTCAAAATATATATCAACACTCCTGCAGGACTTTGCATCTCCACTGCAAAACAAATGACAATTTTATTCCTGGAAATGAGAATTCTGTAGTGTTTGACTTGTGGTGATTTTATGTGAGCTTAGAAATTACCTTGAAAATCATAGGATACTTAAGTCATTTTTTTATGTTTAATTTGATGAATTAGAATCTCTTGGATTAGTGAGTACAGATACATCAGTGTACCAAGAAATTCTTTTTACTCTGAGGACCTTGTTGTCTTTCCATTGGGAGGACAACATAGGAGGCTTTTTGTGTAGTGTGTATGTACCTATAAAATGACCTTTTAAAAATAGTTCCTCCTGTTAGGAGGAATTATCACTCCTCAAAAAGAGCACATAATACATACTTTTTTCAGGTGTCGGAGTGATGTGCAGGTTTGGATTTAAATGCACTTAGGAGGAGAAGAATGAACTTGTCAAAACTGTTGGAGTAAAGCAAATTGCTGATAAAAAATGGCACATAAAGTAACTTCAGTTATGTTTTTACTGTGTTACAGGTTTCTCAATTGTAATTATGTCTGTGTGGCCATATCTCCAAAAGGTTTGTAGATACTGTTTCTGGTTAATAAGAACAGCAAACTCCTGCTCAGAAAGTACAAAACTTGACACTTTATTTAGGAACAGAAAGAGTAAAGGGAAGTGTGTGGTTGTGAGGGACTTTTCTTTTACCATCCACTGAGCTTTTGTTTTATGTAAAACCTGTCAGTTGATTTTCTGAATTGATAAAGTCTCTAAAACTTCAGTTTAATATGTTCTGGGATTTTACTGTGCCTGGAATTGCAGAAGGCAGTTTCAGATGCAGATTTGGAAGAAGATAACCTGGGCGAGATCCTGGAGATATCATTCATAGTGAGGCTGGTGCTGAATTCTTGCACAAGGAAAGAAAATGCATTATCAGCCTTGGAAATCAGGACAGATTCAGGCATGTGCAGAGATGATTTAAGTGACTCCTTGCTCCTGGCATGGGAACTGTGCTGTACTGCATAGTATGTCCATAGCCTGGAACATCAGCAGTGCTGTGTGAGAAGTGTTTGCTGCAACTGAGCCACTTCCAGTCTTGGAAGCAAAGCACTTTTTGTTAGTTTGGTGCATTGCTGGAGAGAGTTAGCCAAGGTTTATTGGCTCAGACAAAGTATTACAGTGCAGAGCCTTGGGTATTCAGGTACTACTTCTGGAATGGTGTTACTGATAACACAAAATGCTCTAACACTTTACCCTTGGAATTACTGTGTTTCTGCAGATCGATCCGACAGCAGATGCAAGTTTCTTGGGCTGGATTATAGCTTCCTACAGCATTGGCCAAATGGTTGCCTCTCCTCTCTTTGGCTTGTGGTCCAATTACAGGCCCAGGAGAGAACCTCTTGTCGTTTCCACTGCTATTTCAGTGGCTGCTAATTGTCTTTATGCCTATGTCCACGTGCCCCATTCACACAACAAGTACTACATGCTGACTGCACGTGCTCTTGTGGGATTTGGAGCAGGTAACCACTGCAAAATAAGGGAAAAAACCCACTAAAATAAATGTAACACAACAGTTTACGAATATAACTCAATATTTGCATGAACACTTTCTTGGTTTTGTTGTTTTTTTGAAGGAAATGTGGCTGTAGTTCGGTCCTATATTGCGGGAGCCACGTCTCTGACGGAAAGAACAAGTGCCATGGCCAACACCAGTGCCTGCCAAGCAGTTGGCTTCATTTTAGGACCAGGTAATGCATATCTTCTTGCCATCTCTAATGCTTTTCAGGATGAAATTGGGCACTGGAAGTAGGAGTTCTCAGCAGCTGTGTGTTGGGGATTTTAAGGCATAGTTTGTCAGTGGGATCACTGGTATCCATCTGTTTATTTAGATTTGGATTCTCAAAATGTGAAAGGGTTGACAGGTATAACATTTAAATTTATTTGGCAATTAGAACAACTTTGCTTATCTGGTTTTCTATGTTTATTCTACAAATATTCCAGTATTTTCTTAATAATTCTCCAGATTTTCTTAATACATTTATGTTTTTCAGTTTTTCAGACATGTTTTACACTTATTGGAGAAGAAGGAGTAACATGGAAAGTACTTTGTCTTCAACTGAACATGTATACAACACCAGTTTTGTTTGGAGCTCTCTTAGGAGTTATTAATATTATTCTCATCTTTGCCATATTCAGGTAATCACGTAAGAAAATGTAAATAACTTACTTACCTTGTTTTTGGGGGTGATTTGTAGCAAGTAAGATGCTGCTCAGCAAGCCTGAAATCTGGTGCACTAAAACTATAAACTGTTACTTTTTCAGTGTTTCTACCTGCTTAAATACCTATATTTTATTATGCTCTTAAGTGACTCATGGTGAAGCTATGGTTAGAAAACTGATTTTTAAAAGGTAAATCTGTTAGACTATTAACTTAACCTTGATATAGTTCTAGTGTTGGTGGTTCCTGCCCATGTTTTTTCTCTGAAGAAAAATAAGGTTGGCTGCTCTGTAGGGATCTCACTGTCTGTGTCTTTCCTTTAGGAATCTTGAGGGGGGATTTTTATTTATTATCCCATTAGTGCAGATGCATATGGATATGATATTCTCTCATTAGAATATTTTCTTTCTTGACTAGAATGGTGTTCACTGCAACCAAGTGTGAACTACACAGATGATGTTTAAAGGAGCTGGAAGTAATTAGCATATAAGATTATGCCATTTAAAATTATTTTCAAGCACCATGGCTCAATAGTAGATCCAGTAAATATGTGTGTTAATGAAAACAGTTCTCATTTTCTAGAGAGCATCGAGTGGATGATTTGGGACGGCAGTGCAAAAGTGTCAATTCTGAAGGAGAAGGTACCTGTGTTTCCTTGAAAACTTACCGTGTGATTGTAATGGTGAAGTACTCTTAGCACATAAAAGCATTTGGAAGTATTCTAAAGTCTGATGCATTGGGAACTTGAAGTGGAAAATAGGCTATACCTCTTTATAACTGGTCCAGAATTTGCGTTGTGTCCATTCTGTGTCCATAGTGCTGTCTGGTAACCAAGAAGCAAGAAAGAAATTGTCTGAATCCTTCCACATTTTCACCCTGAGAATTTTGCTGTGTAGCTTTGACCTTGCAAGAGGAACAGGAAGTGTTTTGGGTTCCATTGTTAAGATATTTAACATTGTTAAGATACTATTTTGCTGTCACTCAGGACTTGTCAGCCCCAGCATTAGACTGGGAAAAAGGTGTAACCAATTTGGAAACAATTTTCTCTCATTTTCAGAGGAATTGAAGTTTCAACATTCCATCTTATTTAAATGCCTTACACTTAGATTGTCAAAACATAACTGCAGAGCTGCCTACCAGCCTGCATGCTAAACACTTCAGAGACTAAAGAAATGATTACTGGTTTTAATTGGTGGTGGTGTCGAAAAAAACTCAGTTTGCAGTTGAGATAACTGTTGTGTTTCCTTGCAGGAAGTGGTGGTGTGGATCAGGATGCAGAAGGAAATGTTGATCACGTCGCTGTGGTAGCCATTAATGTTCTTTTCTTCGTCATCTTGTTCGTGTTTGCTGTCTTTGAAACGTAAGTGTGTCTGTTTTCCCTTAAAAATTTCCCTTTTACTTAGACATGTAAAGTAGTTAGGTTGGGGGTGCATGTAAAGGCTTTTCTGTTCCACTCATTTTCTTAACCAGCTCTTCCTAAATAGAACTCCAACACCATATGCAATAAAATTGATGTGTACTGATACAGAGTAATGAATTAAAGGTCAGCATGAACTACAAATCTCCACAAGCTGTGGTACAGGAAACATTTGTGTAAAAGCTTTTAAATGGAGGCAAACATTGTGTAAAAGCTTCTGAAGTGTTAAAAATCAGAGTAGCTTAACTTGGACTGCCTAAAATCTTCAGAGAAAACTGTGTCTCCAGTTGTGTGTTTTGTTCTGTACTTTTTGTTTTAATGATTAGAACAATTGTTTGATATAATTAGTGCAATTGTATTCTTAAATACATTATTTTATATGACTGGAGGTTTTCTGCCTAAAGAGGTGTGTTATTCACTCCCAAAATATAAGAGAAAATAAGTAAAACATAACAACATTTCGTCAGAATTAAGTGTACTTCACTGTTTTAACTTAGAAAATTACTTTGAGGTTGTAAGATTTATTCTGTAAGTTTTTTGAGCTCTAATATAGCTAAAATTTCTTTTACAATATGGCTCTAAGGTGCATTATTTGTAGAAAACAGAGTTGCTAGAGGTTGGTTGCTGAAACTGAAACAGGATTAAATGCTTACTATTTTTATACTCACAGGGTCTGATTTTTTTCAATCTTTACTACTCTGGCTTGGCTTTAACTTAATCATCTTTTCAGGAACTATTGGGAATAGATTCATGATACTTCAGAGTGTGGCTGGTGTCATGCAGTTGATGTTTGATATTTAGGACAATCTATGTATGGAAACAACTGTATAGAAGAAGCTTTTAATTCCTGTATTTTTCTTCTGTCATTTTAGTATAGCTACTCCACTGACAATGGATATGTATTCCTGGACCAGGAAACAAGCTGTTTTTTACAATGGAATAATCCTTAGTGTGATTGGCATTGAGTCAGTTATTGTTTTCATGGTGGTTAAAACCCTATCGAAAAAGTAAGTTTTGGGGATTCTGTTACTTCTGTTGGCTAAGTGTGAAAGGCTTTTTGGCAAGGCCCAATCTGCATTACTCAGGTCTTTGTCTCGGCAAAATACTTTGAATACTTCTACATCTTCTAATTAGGGTAGTGAAGTACTTCCAATTTTGGCCCAGCCATGACGTTGTAGTTGTTCCTTATTCTGTTAACACCTTCCTTACCTGTTTTTTGTTCTCGAATCACGAGGAAAAACAGATTTTAAGTTACTGTGATTTTGTAATTTCTTCTGTTTTGGCCAGGTATCACTTCAACAAATCCATGGGCTTTGTTGTTAGCACCTACATGAATTTTCCTTTCATGAAATGATACGTTGATACGTCATTGTTTGACAGGACTGGTGAGCGTGCCATACTCCATGGAGGATTACTGCTTGTCTTGGTTGGGTTCTTCATCTTACTGCCCTGGGGGAAAAAACTACCAAATATCCAGTGGCAAGGTAGAGTTAAGTCAGACTAACCCATCTTTGTAATGCTTTTTAGAAGCTTTGTATTGTAGTTTTGTTCTTAACGATATGTATAACTTATTTTGGCAGAAATAAAGAATAACTCCATTCCGAGGACAGTGCCCACTGAAATGGTCATGCCCTTGTGGAGCTGGGAAGAGATGCAGCTGCCATCCAACCACACTGAGCCTGTGGGCTGCCCTGTCACACAGTCCTGGTGCCTGAACACTCCCATGATCTACCTGGCCCAGTACATCAGCTCTGACATACTCATAGGATTGGGCTATCCTGTTTGTAATGTCATGTCCTACACTCTCTACTCAAAAATCCTAGGGCCAAAGCCTCAGGTGAGCATAATCCCTAAATGGTTTATTTCATTTGCTCTCCAAGACTTGCACACTTCATTAGAATGAGTTAAAATTCCTTCTGTCATCAGCCAAATAATAGTATGTTTCTACCAGGGCAAAACTTTCCAGGAACTCTAATCTTTTGTAAAATCCAAGGGAAGTCCCTAGAGGAATTAGGAGGTTTTTCATGTTTATGTTTTGCTGAAAGAGACTAAATGCTTTGAGCCAGAATGCATTTGAGTAGAAAGCTGCAGAGTATATAGTTCGCTGGAACCTTTGAATTAATGCTGGAAACGAAGTAATCAGTACCTTAACAAGTTAAGGAAGATAAGTGGTTGTTTGAATAACTTCTGAATTTTCCAATTAGGATAATGGTGGGAATTACTGGCAAGCCAAGTAATTCCTGTATCAGTAACATAAGCTTTTGATCTGCTCCAGGGTGTCTACATGGGATGGTTAACTGCCTCTGGAAGTGGAGCACGAATCCTTGGGCCTGTGTTTGTGAGCCAAGTGTACACTCACCTGGGACCACGCTGGGCATTCAGCTTAATCTGTGGCGTGGTTGTAGCCTCTCTCTTACTCTTGGAGATAGTATACAAGAGACTAATTGCATTTTCTGTCAGATATGGAAGGATGCAAGAAGAGAATTGTTAAATATGTATTGAAAAGAAAAGGTAAACCCAACCAGAAGTAATACTGTTTATTACTACTTTTTAACAAGGAGCACCTAACCACTGACCTTGTTGGCTGTGTGCTAACAGCTGTACACATGTACTTACCCATTGACAGAACACAGAACTTGGTCATATCCTAAGCCCTGCTGCAGCAGAGCTTTTGTATTCTGCTTTTCCAGCAGTAGAGGAAGGGGTGTGACAGGTTTGATGGATACAATGGCACATTTGAGGTGTGTACAGTTAACACGAGGCACCCATGTACTGAATGCAGCTGTGAAGGTCACAGGTTATGTGCATCCTTTCCAGAAAGAACTCAAAGAAATGTTGTCTTGATTCTGTGAATCAGGATTAGTAACTCTTTTGTAACTACAGGACTAGTTGAGCTGCATGCACTTTGTATGGAGACATCACTACTTGAGCAAACCTGATGTTTGGTTTGCTGGTTTGTAAGCACTGGTTAGTCCAGAATGGTTCTGGAAGCTGTTACATATCAGCACATCTCCAGGATTTCAAAGGAAGTGTGGCAGAATCATACAGGAAGGTAGGTGCCCTCTGCACAAGCAGTGTGTGGGGGATTTGGGTGTTGAAGTTGGTTAAGAGCCCTTGGAACTCAGCCTCAGGGGCTGTTACTTGAACTACAGTGAACCATATGTGCAATTTTTCCTCTACTGTTCTACTGAATGCCTTTTTGTAGCAAGTAAGATAACCTACACAGAGTTGAAATATGTGAAATATGCACAGCTTTTCTTAACCTTACTACAAGAAGGAAATACTAAGCAGGATGGTTTACACTTCTCACTTCTCATTCGTGGGAATGAATGCACTGGGCTGGGAATTAAGGAGAAAAGTGGTTCCTTGGCGTTGACTACTCTATGTAAACTTACTTTTTTCTGGTAACACAGTACAAGAAAGAGGATTTTACAATGTTTTAATCAGTCAGAGTTTATTTTTAAAAGTGATATATAATAATTTTCCTTCATAATGGGGCTTAAGCTCATCTGTACGGGTTTGTTTTAGCTGTTTTAATACTCCTGGGGAAAAAAACCTCTGGAATAACTCCAGTCTGAGAGTGGTGGCTGCTGTTTAATGTCTCTACAATTTGATGCTTATTGAACTTAATAAATGTAATTATGTATTCCTATGTAACAGTTGTTCAAACACTAAGACTACTGAATTAAAGGATTTTTTTCAATACTGACTGCAGGGAATACAGAAGTTTTATTCTCTTGGACTTTCCTGCTGCAGAACCACAAAATGTTATGGGAAAGGACTTTGCTTTTATAAGGGCTTCTTTTATATGCTAAGTCATAGTAAGTAGTTGAAGTCAGGGCTTTTCAAGTTGGAATTAACTTTGTGCAACAGTTTTACACTGTTTCTCCCCAAGCTTCACCCAGCTCTAAACTCCCACTACAGTTCTCCTAAAATCCCAGCTCAGCTTCTGTCAGAATTTGAGCGTAGTAATTTGAGAGCCTTTTATTCCAACATGAAACAAATCAATGGATCCAGACAGTTACCACTGCATTTATTTTTTCTTTTATGAAATGCTTGTGCAGGGATGTTTATGCTGCTACAAAAAGATAAAAACAAAGTTATAAAACATATACATATTTACATATAATATTTGTAAGACATAAATTATTTACAAATACAAACACTTGGACAGCACAGATGCTTTTTCCTTGATTGTTGGCACTGAGGAAGCAGTGGGGATAGAAAGAAATACAAGAAATTCCTGTTATTTCCAAAAAACTTGATGCAATCTAGAATTAAGTTGCTCAAAGTTTTGCTTGAGCAAGTTGATCCATCACTTGGATGTAAACCATGTTTTATATGATACTGTGCTACACATAAACAGAGCAACCCTTCCCTTCCTAAGTATTTACCAGACTCTGGAAGAATTTCTCTATAGGCTGAGTCACATCAGTCACTTTGCTTGCAAGTCAGTGAGTGAGTTTATTACGCTCTTGTGACGTGACACTTGCTTTGCATTAATCAATGAGGACTAGCTGGATTGGTAAACATCACAAGAATAGAAGACAGACAGTGCAACTTCTCTTTGATGTATTCTGGCAACTTATCATTTTCTCCATACCTAGAGAGGCAAGTAAGCATAGAAACATTTAGATGCTTGGAGTAATTAATTTCATTTCACGACAGTGTAATTATTTCAAGATACTTTCTCCCCCTCCCTTTTTTCAGTACTATACAAGAATAGTGACTGTAGTCTGGAGATCAAGCAGATGCATTCCCAGCTTTTTATTCCTTTATCATCCAGAGTTCAGTCAAAGCTGTAAGTGTTTCTGTTTATTAAGCTTACATAAGCTAATCAGCTGCAAAGTGATTGAAAAGCTAAGTTTAAGTCTTTGCAAAACCACATGAGTAGCAGGTATGGAGTTCAT